AAATCAGCGCATATCAAATGCCAAAGTGATATTTATGCATATAATTATTTATATTTTGTATATTTGTGGATTTTTGTGAAGAGTACTAACCAAGTACGCTATAATTTCCATTAACTAAATATTAGGAAAATTAATCTTATCTAAATTGAATTATAAGCTAATTGAGTTGCACCGAATTATATATGTACTGCTCATATACATACACACGCCCACATGTGGTCACTTTTATATGTGTACTTACCCACCTACAGATGAAGTCTATGATATAATATTATAACGTATTTTATTGCATACATATGTGTATATACATATTTATAGCTATCCATATAAACATATATGAATACATGCAAACATGTATATTTATTGTGTCTCTCTTTACATGCCTGCGCATATAACGTGCTCGTTCGCTCGTATGTACGTTCGTTAAACGCCAAAATGTATGCTACAAAACAATCGAAACCAAACAAAACTTTGCTATTATCTGCAACGCTTTAAAACATCTTAAACAAATGCAAATTCAACTGTCGCTCGCATATTGCTCCGACTTCTGCTGCGCATTGTTTCGCTTACAAAAAATACCTTTGAATTGACCGATTTTTGTGCCGAAAAAAATATATGTATATTTAAAAAAAATATTCACTCATTTGGTGTATATTTCTGTAAAAAATGTCGACTGCTCGCATATATTTCCGATAAAGTAGTTAAATTTGCATAATATATGCCAGCAAAAACTGCTGTGCAATGCCAAAGGTAAGAAATTTGAATGAAAACCGAATATTTGTCTGTTTGTCTCTATCTGTATTTGTGTTATTTGTGTCGTTTTGTCGCTGTCCCTTTGTTTTGCCGCATATTTCCAATTTCTGTTTAATTTTCGTACAATATGTGGTATATTGTCCCACTTGTTAATTATTTGTATTTGCCTGTTCGTTTTGTTTAGTTTGTTGTTGTTGTGTCTCTTTTTCTTTCATTACACATGTAGCTGCTTTTACGCCTTTTTGCATGCCTTTGAAATCGCAATCGCACCATTCTTCATTCTTAGCCCACCCGCACGTACCTATGTATATACTCTCGTATGCTTGCCTTCATTTAACCGATTTTTTTTCGAAAGTCAAATGTCATGTCTGTAATGGTGGAAATCTACTTAGTGGCTGCACGCACTGAACCCCGGTGACCGTTTAATGTCGCATATAGACGCATTAGCTAAAAGGCGCGTAGCACGAGGCATTACAGACATAATATAAAATAATGTAGAAACAAACATGACATACGTAAAAGTGCAACATTCATTAAATCAGCGACTAAATACTGAAATCGGTATACTTTAAAAGCTATTGTCTACTGTGAGGCGCATGAGCCGCCTTCATTATTACCGCTAGCATACTTGTGGGCGCATTTGGAAATAATACGAAACACCAGCAGCAATAACCTTTTCAGCAACCTCAAAAGCTCATTTACACACACACTTCTTCGGCTACATAGATCCACAACCTTACCTATGTGCTGCATTTTTTGACGCTCGCACTGTTTCCACTTCATTCTTGTTGACTTTTTGTCGCCGTTAATTTCATTACATTTGCCATTACGAACAAAGGCTATTCCATATTATTTTTAGTGTTGTTGTTGCATTTTTCTATTTGTTTTGTCAAATGTCAACAACGCAGTTGCTTTATCTAAATGCCCATTTAATGGCCCACTGATATAGTTTAGTTCCATACATGCATTCTCCGCATCAGTCAGTCACCTTCCAACTGTCGTCGCCGTTGTGCGACTGTAATTATATTGCCAAATCGCGCGAAACACTCTCAGTCAAATACCAAACACCCAGCAGCAGTGTAGTGTCTTCTCTCATTGGCTTACGAAATTGCAAATATTTAAAGTTTTGCCAAATTTCGGGTTATCCTATTAAGACAAGTGTAACATTCTAGGTTTACGTGCAGTAAAGCAACCACGAGAAACCTTTATATGCCAAAGTTTACAGCGCTTCTCTTCTTTACATGTGATGGATCGCAAACCAATGGTAAGCGGTATAAAATTTCCAGTTTTTGTGTCGACTTAACTCAGGATATATTCGTAGGCTTGTACGCCAGTGCCTCAGGCAGCAATTAGAGACATCGCAACTTAATCTAATTAGTCAATTTCTTTTTATATTATTTCACTTAAAGTAGCTCATATATATAATACTTAAACATAAATTCACTTTCACATTTTGAGTGTTAGGCTTGGTTCACAATATTACAGAAACACATTCGTTCCCTCTCAAACTCATACGAGTATAATAAACATCGAAGTGAAGAAGGTTCTTCATCAGCAATACTTGCCTAAACACAACTGTACAAGTTTTTAACCATATTCAGACAATCAGCACTCCTTCCGTTTAGCGTAGAACCAAATATGCTGTCATACATGAGTTTATTTTGCCATTTTTGTTTGTTAAACAAATAAAACTAGATGAAAATAATACAGATTTATTTAAAAACCACATGAGGTAAATAAAAGTACTATTGAAACCCAAAAGTCGTAATTTCCTTTTATTCCTTGCGACAACAGAAATTAGGCCACAAATCTATATTTCACACAGAAGTAAAGGCACAAATGCTAATTTTATCTCATAAGAATGAAGGTATGAACAGGCATTCGGAGAAAACCATCCAGCAACAAAATTAAGGAAATGTTAGATAGACGGAGTGATTATGTATTTCATCTGCATTGCCTATACATACATACATATATGCATTTGTACATGGGTATGTATATGCTTACATAATCGTGCTACAAATGCACATACCGTTATTCAGACGCACATATTTTAATTGATTAAAAGCTTTCTAAATTGCGCACACTACAGTATTGATTTAATCTCAGCTTTTAACTGAACTTACGTGACCCGTGGCCAGCAATAAAAGCAAAAGGTAAAACTAAGTCTCTTTTAATTGGAACGTTTTCTAATGCTAACTGGACAAATGAATGCGAATTAGCTGCCACTCTTCTCCCTCATTGCACTATAAATTATTATCTATGTACTAAATTTGTGCAATATATAAAAAACATTAAACATAGATTTGTAAACAAAATTATTAAAAACCGATATTGTGAGTTTATTGTCGGAAACCGAAAAGATTTTTCTTCTACATACATAATATATGTATTACACTGTGCGGCAAAAATGGAGGACTTGAAAAAAGCAAAAATTCGTCAGATTGAATAAATACCTATAAAATGCGATATCAGTCGTGCATATTTTGGTTAAGTATTTTAACCATTAGGTTAGGGTTAAATTGCCTAAAGCAATACTTTCCGGAAAATTTTAATGATATTCTACAAAAAATTAATTTTTTTTTTGTTGCCCTGGATATCTTAGCAAATTTTAATGGTTTCAAGTGTTCAGATTACGAATTTATTCATGAAAATATTGAAAGTGCTCTTGTTTATATGATATTTGCGCTTCTTAAATATTGACCAATTATCGGCTTTATAGTAATTAAACTGTATTTTTACAATTATAATTAGCGTTCTGCACTCCTTTTTCGCGCATATAAACATCACGTGGTTTTAGGGTTAAATAAAGATCAAGCGTGGAGATATCCAAACCTTAAGTCAACCAAATGTCCCTTTGCCTTTCAAAATAGTTCGCATACCCTCAGAAACTCATGATGCCTCCAAATTCATTACAATTCATCAGTGGGAGTGAAAGGGAGGGTATATAAAATAAACGAAAGTAAATCTTACAAAATCATTGATAGTGTCATGAAGTGGAAGCACAAATATATCCAAAATCGATCTTATATCTAGCGCAACAAAACCACTGTAGACCAGTTTAATGAATGCCGCGACAGATACAACTGCTGTCACAAGTACAATAAAAACAGCTGAACTCTATTACTACTATTAATATTTTTGCATAGCGCGCTCAAATCATTAATTTCAGATTCTATGTTTTAGTTATTTACATTCACTCAAGACGCTACATTAAAGAGGATTGCTTATATGGTATATATGAGTGAAACGTGAGTTGTGTCTTAGTCGACTTGGCTGTTATCCTTGTCTACATATATGAATTTGTTAACATGTTCATATGGTATATACTTTCATTTTACTTATCGGTTGTGTGTCTTGCTTGATATATTAATAAACGAATTAAAAATTTCATGCGATTTTACATTCAACGTGAGTGTTATCAACTATATACTTTCATTATTTAATATAATGAATTGTGAATTAATTTTTCTAAATTCTTAATTACATTTTTAAAGTCAAATTTTATCTTTCTTTGTGTGTTTGTCTTTTTTCACTCTCTTTTCCTACTATGTACATACTGTTCTTACATTTTTCCATTCACGTAGCAGCCGCATTGATTTAAAAAAATTCCATATATGTATGTATGTATGTAAATATGTGTATATATAATATACTTGTAGTTTTGTTTCAATGAAATATGTGGCCATAAGCATTCGCATACCAAGTGGAACAACCAACCAGCCACTTTTTATTCTTATTTAGTTGAATATACCCGGCCAGCTATTCATACAAATATTTGTTCGTCCACAACTGCTAATTCAAGACTTATTTTAAACAAATTTAGTTAATTTATTTTGGCTTTTTGCATGCAACATTAACCTATTAATGACTGCATGATTACTTGTTTGAGATAATAATTGCAATAATTTAATTTAAGTTCTTAATTTGCTGAATAAATTAATGGAAAACAAACTTTTATTGGACTAACTAACATTGATCTCATGATTTCGTCTTTTTCATATACTCATGTGCTTGTTGACTGCTGGCTAATTTGTCTCAAACCATTTAATTGCGTTTGAAATTCACAAAAAAAAAAATTATTGAAATGACTATGAATATGAATATGAATTATAAATTTTTGATTTTGGTAACAATAATAACAAATAAAAAACAAAAATAATAAATAAAACTTTTAATGAAATTGCTGCAAAAAAACATAAACTCCGTCCAAAAAATAACAAAAACAAACAACATTTGGGCTGCAGATCAACGAAGCTCTTGAATTGGCGCTGGAAGCAATTGACAAAGATACCACATTCACCATAAATGATACAGCAACAATAAAAGCAAAAACCAAATCATCCAACACAATTGCAAGTAATCATACAAGCAACACAGTAACAACAACAACAACAACAACACAAGCAACAACAATAGCGACGGCAACAATGTCCACAATGATAGCAGAAACAGCAATAAAACACAACAACAACAATAATAATGATGGATTACTATGTGCAAAGGATACGTCGAACAAAACCGACGAAGAGAAGGAACACAAAAGTAAGCAGCAACAACAACAACGATTTGATGCAAATACAAATATTATGAACACTGACAATGATGATGATGGTGGAAGAGAGGAATGGCGCGAGGCGCTCATCTCGCAGGAGCCCATTTACGAGAATATTTCGGCAGCATCTACGCGACAGGTAGATGTTGAAGCAAAGCGAATCATTCCAACGAGCATGTTGAACGACAACAACAACATGGCAAATAATAATATTCCCAAACAAATTAATCAAATAAATAACAGCAATAGTAGTAATTGTAATGATATTGAAAATTCGTTTGCCAATAATTCGCTATGTAATATATTGACTAACAACAACAATAACAATAGCAGCGGTAGCTATAGCGCTAGCGATAACAAAAACAAAAGAAATCTTGACAATACTTTTATTGAAATAACCAACGCTTACGCTAATGCTACAACTATTATAACAGCTGCCGGTATAATGGCAACAACAACAACAGCACCAAGCGATTCGCTCACAGCCAGTGAAAACGCCAGTGCTGCCGCAACCTCAACACAAGTTGCAACAGCAGAGGACTTTAAAAATATCACAACAACAACCGCAACAACACAACAAACTGAAACAAGCTCACCAGCTCCAAAATCTGAAAATTTGTCCACAATCACAAAACCCGCAGCAGTTGATCCGCAAACGGTGACTAATAACGCAACGACGCCGCCCGAACAAGAACCCTACTATCAGGTGCCCAAATCAAGCGAGCCCTACTACGATGCACCTAAACATTTGCGCCCTGTGCCGCTTTACGAAAATATCGAGGTCTTCTACACCGGCTTGGAAAATTCCACTTTGGCTAGCGGTACTGGAGCCGCACTTACTGGCGGCTTCAAGCTGGAACCGCCGAAAGAGAAGCCACCGCCGCCGCCCATCGAGAGTCCGCCGCCTTTCGACGATGTGGACAGCGTCGATAACACAGACACGTGGTCTTCGGACAACACCTACGAAACGATTTCATCACGTTTAACACATGTCAACGGTCTGGTTACCGACCATCCTTCGCCGCCCATCAAACGCATGAACTCGACGAAACGCATCAAGAAGGAGTTGCGCAATAAACGTTCGAGTTTCTTGGGCATTGACACCACGAACTTGGATGATGAGGAAACCTATTTGGAATTGACAGTGGCACCACCACCAGATATGGCGCAGCTGTTGCAGGAAGAGCGACGTTTGGAAAAACAATTGTACCTGAAGGCAGGTCTGTGCGATAGTTCAGACACAGGTAAGTGCTGAAAGCTATTTGTACTAAGTGTATAAAGCGAAACTAGTAATCTATTTTCCATCAACAGGCGAGAGTCGCGATTCGGGCGTCTCTGAGAATCACTCACGTCAGAGCAGTGAACACTACACGAACTCATCGGAGGAAAACGATCGACAAATCGATACACCACCACACAGCCTCAAATCCAACGAGCTAATCTACCAGAATGAGGCACTACTAACGGCCGCGCAGACGCCACTGTTGCAAACAGTGAAGGGGAACTCAGCCGAATCATGGACTGAGTCCGCAACTGTTGCTGCTGCTGCCACAAAGTCACTGACAGAGGCCACCGCTACCGCTAATGCCAAAATGCTTTCCATTGAGGAGAAGATACGTGAACAAGAAGAGGTCCTGCGTGTAGAACGCGAGCTGCTGCAGCTGGAACAGGAAGAGTTGAAGCGCCAGCGCGAGAACTTGATGTTGCGTGAAAATATGGCACGTCGTGAACTGCAACATGGCGCCAAAATGCTTATGTCTGCCAATCGACGTTCACTACAAGACCTAAATGGCGTAAGTATGTCGCTAGCAGGTGGTCTGCCAATACCGAATGGCGGTCCAACTGTAGCCTACCAAACGGCGGTGCCACAATATGCCATTGCCGCTCATAACATGCAACAACCGACACAGCAGCAATTTGGCGTACCACTATTGGCTGCGCAACCAACACAACAGATCTATGCAAATGTACCAAATATAGAACAGCAGTACTATCAGGTGGACATTGATTACCGCAAGTCCATGTCCGACCTGCAAGAGTTCTCCAAACGGCATATGCTGCCTCCCATGCCACCAACAAAACCGATGCGTGCCATGCAAGTGGGCACTTCAGCCAATGCGCTGATCGTCAATGGCACCGAAGACTTCATAGCATCGCGGCATGCCTTAAATGCTCAGGGTTTCGGCGGCTCGTTGGTGAAAATCGCCACCCCTACAGCGGCGCCACGTGGTCACTCGGCCTACCCGAACAATCACCAATACCAACACCAATCAACACAAAATCTGAGCAACAGCAGCGACAGCAATAATAGCATTAGCGGAGTTAATGCCACAATGCCAGCCGTATCAAATGGACACGCCGCACTACCGGGCAATATGTCGCGAAATACGCTGCATGCGCTCAGTGCCACACCTAAACCCAAATTCACGGACGGCTGGGTGCAAGTGCAGCAACGCAAATCATACGACACGAATTTGGCGAATGATCCCGCTTGGCTTTCGGCGTACCAGCAAAAACGTAAATCCATGCCGGAGCCTTATCACGCCTACAATAACCATTGGCTCGTGCAAGAGGCCGAGCAAAGACGCATTGCAGAGCAGCAGCGACGCGGTGGTTCGACGGCCACAACACCGGTGCATCAGCAAAATGGCAGCGCTGTTACCGTCGTTGGCATGAAAACTGCAACGGTTTCCAACGGCAATGGCAAACCGCTGCCAGATTCCATCATACAAACACTGACGGAGCGTGTGCAGAGCAAGGGTATCGGCGAGCGGAAGAGGTGAGTTCCTACTAATGAAACTATCTACAAAAGTTCTAATTCAAAAGACCGTTCTTCCCTTAGATTCGACTATAACAATCAAAGTACTGCTTTGGAGAAGAGTCCGCTTCATGCGGCCTCCACATACTATCAGCAACAACAGCAGCAGATATCGCAATCTGTAACGCCCACACATCAACGACATCTCAGCGGCTCGACGTTAACCACAATGTCACCACAAGTCAATGTGAACGCTTCGCCGGCTCATCAGCACCCACAGCCGCAGCACCAGCAGCCACAGGACAAAGTGTTGAGTGTCAGTGGCAAGAAAAAGTGTTCACATTGTGGTGATGAATTAGGTAAAATTTGCTACTACGTTGGTTGTGAGTGTTTACATTTGAAATTCCTTACAAGTAACGAAAAGTAATTAAATTTAGTTGGATTGAGCATACTCATAGATGGCATTAAAGCTTCACTGTTCAAATCACAACTTTAGAACTTCTTTTGTTGGTGTTGTGAGGTTTAAAATTTCTCATATTTTGTAATCATTATTGTGAATAGTAGTCATCCCTCAATGTCCAATATAATTAGGTTTCCGCCCGACCCTCAGTATAGCTGTAATTTAAGTAAATTTAGTTGATCCTCAAATATTTTTAACCCTCATTTTAAAGGATATATCTAAATATATATGTGTTATCTATGAATATGGTGTTTTTATATTATTTTTTCACCACCATTAGTTAAATAAACATTTTATCGCTAGTAATAACACACTAAGTGATTTTTTACTTATTGACCATTATTTGAATTTCAATTTAAATATTCCCTTACATGCCTTTCCGCAAAACGCAGACACCACTGGCTGCACGGAATCCAGTTGTCGGCACGTACACAAGGCTCTAAAATATATAGTTTGGGTGTAATATTGACGACGAAGAAAATAAATGTATGTTCAAATACGATTTTGAAATACACACAATAAAAGAAGTTATCAGAGTTATCTCTCTGATGTCTCTGATCAACATTTTATGTATGAATTAGTTTCACATATTTTAAAGTTTACAGAAAATTGTTATCTGATCAAATTTGACTTAAACTTTATCTATAATAATATTCGATCTTTAGACTCGTTTTGCGTCAACGTTACGCGGAAATTTACTTTAGGCTTAGGTTTAACGAGTCTGACATTGGCGCAATTCAAACAAGATGCGTTAAGCGGGTTCATAAAAGTTGTCGAGAGACATTTTGGTTGTACGATTCTCTTTTTACTTATCGGTAATAAAGGTTTATGTATTATTCCCACGTTTTCTACGAGCCCAGAACCACTCACGTTCAATAGTAAAAAGAAAAGACTGTGGCTAAGTCCACATGATATTTGTAAGATAATTTGTTTTAATATATAAAGATTACATAAAGTAATGGTTATTAATTACAAGTTAAAACTATTATAATTTCATAAATGTTAAATGATGAATATGTATACCAGAACCTTCTTCTTGATATTCGTTCAAGAAATTATTATAGTTAAAAACTCACAAACAACAAAACACTTTTATCGCCTTTTAGTTGTAATATTTTTTATTTTCAATAACATTTTTATTTTTCAAATCTCCCGCATGAAATAGGACGCGGCGCCGCAATGATCATAGAATCGCTGTTGCTCTTCTACCACATCAATTGCTTCAAGTGTTGCGTGTGTCACGTGCAGCTCGGCGACGGACTAAACGGAACAGATGTGCGCGTGCGCAACCACAAATTACACTGCCAAAATTGTTACTCCAGCGATGATGGCATCAAATTCAGCTGCGTCTGAGAGCGTCTGAGGAAACTGAGGGGAAAATGTGAAAACAGTTTAGCAAAGTAGTGGAAATCCTGAAGTTGGGTCATGCCTGTAGTGATCAGCTGCCATCCTTGTGGAACCGAAATCCTAGTGGAGTTGTAGAGAAACATATACATACAAACACACATAAATAGACGTTAATGCAAAAACCATGAAGAATTGGAGCGAAAACTCCACATCCAGCATGCAAGTCAAACAGCGCTGAGTTCAAGCTAGAATTATGGAAAATTATTCAATGTTGAATAATTTTCATGTTTATATTTACACATTTTACTGTTAAAATTTACACTTTTTAAAAGTAACGAAATTTTCAAATTTTATATTAAATGAATTTTACAACGTATTTAGTATCATATATGTATGAATGTATTAGAAGCTTGCGCTAAATGCTTATGAAACAAAGTGAAATGAAAACAAAACTGGAATTTGAAGTAACCAATTCTACAATAACTTGTGTATAACGCAATAGATATATATATACGAGTATACATATATACACACGCATATCTATACAAATGTGCTGTTATGAATTGTTAAAACTTTTGCTAATACTTTTATTTCGACTATCAAATGTCCATCGTTACGCAGTGGCAACTGTCAATATACAATATTAAAACTATTAAATGTTAAAATCAAAAGAAATCTAGTTGAAAAATTTGACCAATTACAACACACAAAATTAATAGGCATACATATATACGTGCGTGTGAATGCTTACAGATGTACACACATAAAGCACCGACTGTCATAGTAAATAAATTCACAGCTTATTCGTTAATATTAATAATCGTGCTTAAAGCAAGAAAAAATCTACAAATTTAAGCAGAAATATTATGGCTCTTTATGGCAACATTATGGCAAATCTTTACGCTCTAAATGAATGTTGAATTTGAAAATTTTGATTGTTAATAAATGTTGAATAAAAGTAGCAAATGGTTTTAAGAGCTAAACTAAGTGCTTAAGGCGCTTCTAAAACAAAGCTGAACAAGTCAATTGACATGAAAATATCGAAATGTGAAAACTATTATAAATAAAGCATTGAAATCTTTTTCCGCTGAATACACTTAAAAACCAAAATCAAAACTATGGCTTGTTTGGTTTTTATCGATATTGTAACATATTACATATTAACTAAAAACTTATTTCTTGAATTATTTTTACGATAAAAAGGAGAACATGAAATTTTCACTTTGTATTTAAGCAACTTATTTAACCTTGTGTAATGTGAAAAATTACATGCATAGAATTATACATACATACACATTTTATGCTATACATATGTACATTAGGTTTAATGACTTTTGTGTAAATATTTTTTTCGCTGAATATATTTATTTATAGTTTTTATGTGCAACCAATAAAAAATAATAAAAACACTAAAATCAAAACTAAAAGTGTCGATTTGGTTCTTTTTCCAGCATTTATTCTTGCTTCCAGGAAGTCATGGATAAAAACACATTTATATTGCTATTGCTTTTTATTTTGGGAAAGGCTAAGATTTCTAATGAAATTTGAAATTTTGATAAAAATTTTAAATAATATATGTAATATATATCAACAAAAATATAGTTTTATTTAACTTTTTTCAAAAAATTCTATTGATACGAAAAACTAAATAAAAAATGTGAAAATCGAAATTTTGAAGGTGTATTATTAGCTTAGTGCATTTAGAATTTATGAATTTTTACTTGCAACATTTGATGCTAGAAAACTCCTTGTATTATATATATACATATGCATGTACCCACACTTTTTTAACATTTCTCACTCTTTCAATGTTTACTTTTGTAAAATTTTCTGCAAAAAAAATGGGTGTGCTATATTTACTCGTTGTAAACACATAATTAAATAAAATCGACAAAATTGTCTTGCAAAATTTATTATAATAAACCTTTTCAATATCTAAGTGTACACAAAGATGTTTGGCGAATGAAATTTTCTATTAATCTTAATATTAACTAATTACATATTGCCAATTGAAGTCTCTCGCACACAATGTTGCGCACCATGTTGCTAGCAAAATATTTATCGAAACATTTTACTAACGGAAATGAGTCTATTGAAATTAAATTCGTTGCCGCATGTTTAATCTTACAAAAGAGGTTACGGCCTACTTTCAGGCGCCTTTTAAAATCAATTCTGAAGTCAATAATTCATCTTAAAATGTTGCCTATGGGAAAAAATATTTACACGTTCCGTACACGCACCCATATTTAAAGAAGAAGCAAATTTATTAGCTTTTATGAAACGTTAAAATATATATATTTTTCAAGTTCAAATTCTTAAAGTTACAGAACATTCACTTTTGTCATTATTCATTTCAAATTTCATTCATATAATTTAATTCTACTATGCTTATATTATGAACATTACATTAAATTAGAGGTATGCACTGCGAACTTGGGTTTATTTTGAACCCCTTCCGCTCACATTACCTCTTCGAACCCAAGTGCATTAGGAAAGCCTAACAACACGTATGGGCTAACAGGCGAATAGAGGCGTCACCTCTGCTCACAGTAATAAAATCACTCATACGCCATGTTGGCAATTTATTATTTCAGCTTTAAAAGCTCCCAAAATATAATATATATGAGGATGTAGGCACATGAAATAAAATATTTAGAAATAAAAATATATATCAGAACTTGTAAAGAGTGTAATTTTTTAGTACGAAAAACATTAACAAAAGCAATTTTTTCAGGATATTTTCCTTTAATTGCTAACATTTCAATCTCGATAAAAAACAGTTTTTTGTTAAATGGGCTTTCGTTTACATAATATGATGTTATGTGCTATATACCATACATATGTACACGCAATTGTACATAGCTGAGTAAATGAAATTAATATTTCTACGAGAATACTTCAAGAATTCTAAAGAATCTGTAATGGACAGCTACTTAGAAGATCTTATCGAATTTTATTCAAATACCTATGTATGTATATAATATTATGTATTATTAAATTTATGGTTTTATAATATAATTATATATTTGGAATTTCATAATAATTCGATTTTGCAAAGACTTCAAAGTCATTTCACTTATATCAAAAGTGATAAATAAAACCGATTTTATTATTTGTATTTCTCTTTGGAAATGCCGTCGAACATATGGTAGGCCTACAATATATATTGTACAATAACTATTTGTATTATACAATATTACATTTTTTATAATTATTAAGTACCCAACCGACCTCTACTTTAATTACCAACTTTGAAATATTATTATAAATACTCTTCTGAATATGCTAAGTTAAACAAACACAATTGACACTCCAAGGATGAAGGAGATTTAGCCACCATATGCGATTTTTTGTAACCTTAAAGCCTCAGATAGTTGACCATCTGCAAGCCTGTAGCTGTGTCCCATTCACGTGATTCGGCGAATTTAAACTCGCTTAGCCATTTGTTCTCCATCTCGTCGTATCGTGCGATGGCTTCACCGGAAACGCTGTACAATTTATTGTTTACGACAAAAATTTCATAAAACTCGCGCTCCTCCCAGAAGTTAATGACATCCCAGCGGTTGGCGCGCAGGTCAAAGCGTTCCATACAGCTGCCCAGACCCTCACAACAATAGATGTGCGAACCGATTGCCGCGCTAGAGCAATAGCTGTTGACCTCACGCATGGAGGGCATCTCCTGCCACTGGCCCACACGTGGATCATAACGCTCTACCGAGTAAAGTGAACGATGATCGGTCTCACCACCCATCACGTAGAGCGTATTATCTGTATCAAGAATAAAATATAAGATTAAATTACATTCATTTATACACACCACTAACCGCACACTACCGCGCCCATTGCATTTCGCTTCGCCAGCATATTCTCACGAAATGTCGCTTTATTTGTGATCAAATTCAAACACTCCACCGAACAGGTGGCACCTTGCAATGTATTGCCGCCGAGCGCATACAAACAGCCATTCAATATGACCGACCGGTGGTGCGAACGCTCCATCAGCAGCGGATGCAGCTCGTGCCACTGATCGCGATAGATGTTGTAGTAAAAACTCTCACGAGTGCTGCGACCCACACTGCCACCTTGCGCGTATAAAATATTCTTGTGCGCCGTCAAACTGACGGCGAATGCTGGTCGTGGCAATGGCTGCAGCTGCGTTGCCTCGTCGAATGCCAAATTAAAGCGTTGCAGATCCGGTTTGCGGCCCATTTTGTCCAACACAAAGATATTCCACTCCATGCTATCGGCACTGTGCAGCACATCGTGCAGCCAACTCTGACTCTCCGCGCTCTGCTTGAGGATGGGCAGTGAGCGTGCCACTTCAGCTGTTACGCAAGCTGGATGTATGTAGCGCAGCAGTGGTGCCAAGTTAGCCGTGCGCTCTGTTGGTCGATGTTCGGCCCAACGTGTCAAGCCACATAGCACAGCGTCGTCGGAATGAACGTAGAGAGCATCGTTAGCCAATATATTGCTGAGCTGTACAAGAAAAAAATTTACGCATGATCGCAGTGTTATCAATGGTGCACATTTACCTCCAAGTAGGTCATATCCAAAAATTCCTCACTCTGCACTACTTCTTTGAAATGTGTTATGATGTATTGGCAAGCCGAATCCAGCAGCGTGAAATTATTTTGTTTCTCTGAAAGCGAAAAACCTTATATAAAATATCTGTAAATTTAAATATCTCGGCTATTTTAGGCACCTGCAAAATGCTTAAAACCCAGACAATTATCAGCGTCCAGCTGTGCGCACATATACTCCGTACACAAGTCCATCAAATGCTCCAGCTGCAGAAAGGCCGCAGTCTCCAGCAACTGTTGCACACAATCAACATAATTATCCAGGTGGCCGGTGTAAATGAAGTCCACTGCCAGCTCTAAACAACGCGGCTCCATGTCGTGTATGTGAACTTCGTTCTGTGAGCTCTCTGGAAAGTTGCCGCCAAACATCGCCTGGAAGTAGGGGCTCGCAGCGGCGAGTATGTTGCGATGGGCCTTAATACGCAGATCATCACAAACCAAGCAAACATCCGTATACTGGAAATATGTAGTTACACAGAATTGAAATCTTTATCGAAAGCTGTAGAAATTAAGGCGTGGCGGTCAATTAGCCATGCGGCTAGTAAGGCTTCCATCAGCCCACTCTCAGCCACTCTAATGACACACTTTACCTGCTCATTTTTACGGAACTCATTAAGTTGCACCAGTAGCGCTTCGGCGTGTTCATTTTGCAACGACTGCGCTGCTGCTAGACGTCCGTTACCGCCGCTGCCTCCGCCACCGCTGCCGCTCATTGCCCACAACACACAATGCCCACGTCCGCTAAATATGCTGCGACCGTTATTACGGTTATTTGCGCTGTTGTTGTTGTCGGTATTGCTACGAATATTGCTTGCGCCGAATTTTGCTCTGATTATTCGATTTAATTAGCTGCATTTAATTTTCAATTTTGCGCACAAATTTTTCACTGACCACATAATATAATATATTTTGCTGTTCTCCTTACTTCTGTTGCTGTTTCTATTTCGATTGCACACTTTTTGTTTTGTCAGCGTCTCTTTTCGTTGCTCTGTTATTGACGATGGTTGCATTATTATCTAATACTTTCGTTTCTGTTGTCAAACGAAATGCCATAATTATTGGAGCCTGCGCACTGTCGTCAAAAGAGTGCATGTCCCTCGCATTTATAAAATGGAATCGGAATAGAGAGTGGAAAACAAACAAGCCACAGCTGTTGCTTTTCCAGTGACTCTTTAGCGGTAAATTTACGTTCTATTAGTAAATTTAGCCAGTTCTAAGCCGGATATGAATCCTGATAATAGAAATTCCTAATTTTTAATAGACTGAATAGATTTTGTTTAATTTTTTGTGTTTGTTTTTTATTTATTTTTTTTTTTTACATCTTATAAATTAACAAGTACGCAAATTTCATTTTTTTTTAGTGTGAAATGTTGGGATCCCAAAATTCTTTCCTTTGCTTTTCCGTTTTACGAGTTTTTCACTCAAACAAGCGTACGCCGTTTTACATACAAATGAGTAAATACATACATGAAGTGATTAACTAGGTGAATTGTTCGATTACATAACAAATGTAATACATTGACGACTTTGTTGTTTTTGTGCCGAAATCGAAAAGTAGCGTTAATCACTGTGCTGACTTCGAGATGCACGAAGTTCACTACATTAAAGAAATTTAGCTTCAAAAATAAAGCAAATTGTAACTAAAAACTAAATACACACATACATAAATTAAAAAAAAAATGTTACATATTTCTTTCTTCTTATTTGAATATAAAAAACAACACCAAAAGTTGTAATGCAAAAGGTTCGCATCATTGCTGCTGCCAGTGCGCATGTGTGTGAGTGTATGTATTTATGTCACATTATCATCTGTTTACTCCCTTTCCTTACCACACCTCGCACTTCTGCACGGGGTTCATACGAGATCCATCGGGGCAATTAAAGTCGCGCGCAAAGTCCTTCATATTGCTGAATGTGCCCATGACGCGGAATTGCGAAGGCGAATGAACACCGGTCGTGATGCGCATTTTGAGCGTTTCTAAAAAAAGTTTTTAGTTTGAAGATAAAATAGTTGTTCCATCAAAAATTCGATTTCAAATACGCACCTTTGCGATATTTGGCGCACCACGTCTGACCGGCAGAGATCCAGAACATCTGCTCGGGGGTGTAGTCCAAACCGGGCAATTTCGGCTCGGGACCATTCTTTTCCGCCCACTGACGATAAGCTCGATAGGATTCTTTCACGCCACCATTGTCTGCAATATTCTCACCTTGCGTATTGACGCCATTCAGCTGCAAATAAAAAAATATGTGGAGTATTGGAATTTGACAAAGCTTTCGCACTCAGTCATCTCTCACTTACATTTCTGTCAACTGAAACAGAATTATGAGATGCACAAAGTGTCCTTATTGATAGTGAATTTTACGCAATTTTTTCTGTACTTACATTCAAACCAGTTTGTCCGTCTGTGAAATTTGCATACTGTTCAATAATACACTTGGCCTTGTCCAAATAGGCCTTCTGCGTATTCTCTGCCCACCAATCCAACAAGTTGCCCTGTAAATCGAAACGACGTCCTTGATCATCGAAGCCGTGCGTAATCTCATGGCCAATAACGAAACCGATAGCACCATAATTCATGTACTTGGGGCGTGCAGCGTGGAAGAAGTGACCTTGAAGAATACCAGCAGGGAATTCTAAAAGAACGAAAACACAAATTTACCCACCAAATAGTGATACCTCTTACAGCATTAGTACGACGAGAGCTTACGTATACTGTTCTCAATCGACGAATAGTAGGCATTGACAACAGCTGGACGTGCGTGACGCATCCAATCTGTCTTGTTTACCGGCAAACGCAGCTTATTGAACGAGTAATCTGTACCAAAGACATTCATGTTCAGGAAGGACTCAAAGTACTTGCTGGAATCAATCTCCAAATTGCGATAATATTCCTCCAATTTCGAATTATCTAACATCTCATCGGGATAGCCAATGTGTGTAGTCATCGCATACAACTTCCTCTTAGCCTCCTTCTTGGTAATATCGTCCATCCAGTCGACCTCGCTGAGTATATTGTCGAAGACTCCGCGAATTTGGTGCACCATGTCCAATGCTATGGACTTGGAGTCTTGCTTGAAATGCTTGCGCACATACAGCGAACCGACGGCAATGGCCAAGCTACACCCCCCAAATATGAAGTAGTGAACGATGTGAGCATAATGTCGACAAATAATCGGCGCACATAGTTCAACAAATGGTAAACACATGGCGACACGGGTGGGGAAGGGGGAAGCATGGTGTGATGTGAGTTATGTTAATCGAACATAATTATGGTCACATAATAACGATTTGTGAACAATGTTTTATGAGCAACGTTGTGGAACGTTCAAGTATAACGATGTGGAAACGATGAAATACGATGAGTAGCGATGTGACCACAAGCACGTTGTTCAAATGTTTTATGAAATGGACATAAAAAAGAATAATACAATTTTCAGGATTAATTTTTAATTACATAAATAAAAAAATTGCATAAATAGATTAAAAAAACTAAATGTTTAAATTTTTAATTTCTTATATTGAGTATGTACTGTGCTCTATAATGAAGGAATCGTAAGGATGCGCGCAGGTTAGTGTGTGACATAAAAACACCTTGCAAAAGCCGATGAAACAAAAAGTGCAAAAGGTAGTGCATAAATTTTAACGAGTTAAGAAACATAAGAACTGTATTTTTAATAAGCTTAGTTTTCGAAAATTTCGCTTGGGGAACAAACTCTGACTATTACAGCAGTCAAAAAAAAAGCACCCAAAGACTGGTTGATTGCATATCACTAAAGGCATGTAATTAAAGCAAAAGTTATTAGTATTGCATTTGAAAATATTATTTGGTTTTTATTAAAATAACATCATTTTGTTTGAATTTTTTGTTTTTGAATAGTAAGGTCTGCTATATACATATGTATAGTATTATATAATAATCTCTCCGTGATGGCGATGTTAAATAGAAGAGTCGTTACCTTATACAATTCTTTTTATTTTTGTATAAGTGTGTGTCATATTTAGATCTTCTGCAGAAAGTTAATGTTTAAGCGATATATCATTCGTACATAAGGAAATAAACTAAACGATTCATGAAAATTTTGAATAAAGGAAGGAGATAGCAAAGCAATGTTGAAGAGCAAAAAAGCGTATCGATAAAAATCTGTACCCTTCAACTTCAAATTCGACATCACGTAATTCGCTGAAAGGTTGAAAGTAAAGACGAACGTGTGTAATTCAAAATATTTTTAAGTTTGGCAAATAAATTAATGCAAAAACAACAACTGAATCAAAATAAGGCAAACAGAAACGCGCATGCAATAAATTATGAAATTGCGGTCCGAATTGCTCACAATTAGAAAATCAATTAATTAATTAAATAAGACTTAAGTGAACACTCGTATAAGTATCCTAAAAAATAAGTCACATAACATAACTAGTGTTACATTTCACCTTAAAATGTTTCCATGTTCAGCTTTAAATAATCTTATGTCAGTTTTCTTTCTTTTCAACTCAATTTAAATAGAGCTACATTTCATATAGGTTATAATTGAGGTGCCTTGCCGGAATGTTCCTTACTCATCAATTATTTTGTAAACGTCTTCAAGCAGTAAGCAAAATCAAAGATTTCTAAAAGTGTTCGAACTTATAAAGAAACGCCATCAGCATAGTCTTTAGTTTGTTCAGAGCTCTTTTCCTTCAGCAGTTTCGATACTTATTTTATATTCCCAAACTTATGATTGCCTAGATTTGTTTCCAGAGTTGCAAAAGGAAAATAATATAAGCTACCAGATCTAACAACGGAGCAGTTCGAATATCAAATATCTCTTGGTCTATTGTAGTTTATAAGCTATTGATCTCGATGATTTCATTTTTCCCAAGAATTATATAGAAGTGAACGCTAACTAAACCTTACAGGCCTATATGCATCTACACTAAGTGACTATGAACTTATTCAGCATTGTGGAACACGGAACACTTATTAATTAGCGAAAGACCAGATAGTTTTTGATCATCACAGAGGACGAACGAGCCAATGGAGCCCATAAACAGAGCCACTAGGAAATAAGAAAAGCTTCGAACGGCAGGTTATTTTTAATGTGTGCTCATGTTTTTTATGAAAATAAGAATACTTGAATTTCTACATTTTCTAACCAACGAATAGTGTGCTACTAGTGCAAGGTACTAAATGAATGCATATGTGTTACCAAAAACAAATTGTGAAGAACTAATAAAGCCACAACACAAAACTCAACTGAAAAGTGGTGTAAATCAAATCAAATAAAACAAAAGTAAATAAAAGTAAATAAATCTATTAAACTTAGTACCCTTCTACTTCATCTTCGACCTCTTCATCATAGCTGTAAGAAAGCAGAGATAAAACATATACTTATATATATTAACATATTAATGTAAGAATTTCAGTCTAAAGAAATTTGAACTAAGCAAATGCATGAAACGCACACTTTTCCTAAGGAAGCAAGCCAATATTTCTTACAAGAAGAGCAATTAACATCAATGAAAAAAGGTACCAATCAATTTAATATTTGCAAGGGAACTTACATGCCATTGCGGATACATAATACATACACAATTAATTAAGTGCACACAAAATAATCTATGCTACATGAAGAATTTGCAGCCAATTAAACAAATGTCGTAACTCAAAACAACATGGTTCTACTGGGGACAACTATTTTCTCAAACTATCTTGGAACAAATCAAGTTTCTAAACGACCACCTACCTGCCACTGGCGATATCCACGCACTCCTTCCAACGCGCTTCCTGCTCCTGACGACCCGACAAAGCGGTCGCGTATTGAAGTTGACGCTTGCGGAATTGCTCAGAGAGAAAAACGATCGAAAATGCGTGTATACGCCACATCATGTAGTTCGCAATCACACGATTTGGTGTACGCTCCAATAGTGGGCCTAACTCTTCAAAGAAACTGGGTACTGAAAGATTTACTGGCTCATTTTCGTCCACTTTGATTTTGTTCGGCAGCAAAGCGTTGGTGTAATCCACCCACTGCACGTAAGGATAAGCTGCTTGCAGCTGCTTCAGTGTGCGTATGTTGTAGAGATCGTTGGTGTTGCGGCGCTTCTCAGCTGGCCAGGAAATCTAAAGGGTCAAACAATTTAAGTAAACTTTCTTAACTTTGCATGAAGTCAACTCACATTTGCCAAAGCAATCTCGAAATCGAGGGATTCCCTCAACTCACTCTTCGTTACATCCTTATCAGCACCAAAAAGCACAGCCATATCGACCATGTAATCATAATAAGAGCTCACCAATGTCTCGTTGAAGCCTTTGACGAGATATTCGCGACTCAAGCCAATAGCAGATTGATCAAACTGTAACAGCAAAGAAGGAATTTGAAGTAAAGCAAACTGCAACCACCACAAAGAAACTAAACGAACTCACATCTATAATACGCGTTGTACTGTTCTTTAAATCCACACTGACTGAAAAGTCGATGATATAGTCCATGCTGAATCCCATCCTACGGAACTTCTTTACAGTCTCCTGCCAAGACCAGCTGTCGTCTGCGTTCCATAAGTCGCCCTCAATTACCGGCCAGCCGCCGAGTTTTTTGGCAATGTCTGCAATCGGCTTGGCACCCAACTCCTCAATCAGTGCTGTAGTTGGCGAGATTGAATTTAAATAAAACTTTAAAACAATAACAACTGCAAGAACTCACATTTGTTCATACACGCCTTATACAGCGCGTTCGGCAACTGGAAGTGTTTGGGCTCTGTGCCTGGCCGTTCTTCAACAATAATCTCCTTCAGCTGTTCATGTAGTTTATCCGAGATCAAGGAGAACGTATTCAACGAATCCTTGTCATCGGGTATTAAATTCTCCTCAATATAAGTACCGCAGACGAATTGATAGAAATCATCACAAGGTTCGATCTCTGGCTTCATTTTACTTAGCACCGCCGATGAGGTGTGTATGCATTCGGCTGAGAGGCAGACATCATCCTTTGGTAGTTTCTGTGGTGGCATAAAGACCTCATTGTCCGTGATGCGAGTGGAGCCTTGCAGCGCCTCTGGTGGATTGGTAGTTGCTTTGAGCTCTATCGAAGTAAAGCAATTGTTACAATTTCGAAAATTCTTACTTAATGCAATTCTGTATTTATCTCGAAGATTCCTTTTTTGCCAACAGGCAAAACACATGCTTCGTTTCACTCACCTTCCGTCAAACGATTTGAAAGTATAACAGAAACCAGTCCAATGACAAGACCAACTACTGCTATCAACGCAATAATACTGATCAATACCAGGCATCGTTCCAGCGTGGTGCGTCTACGCCACCAATTCGGATTCCTAGATAATGAAAATGTGGAAATGTGTTTAAATTAGTATCTGTTAATTAAAAGGCAGTGAACTTAGAAAAATTAAATATTAATCGAATAAAAATTTTGATGATAACTATTTATTTTCGCTATATATTTTCCAACTATTATCTAACTATCAAAGATTAATAGCATTAAAGTTATACAGCAAGAATTGGATTCAATAAAAAGAAATCTCCACACTTTACAGCCGAAAAAGTAGATACTCGTCCAAGGAAAATCAATTCTTGAAAGTTTGGTCTGCGTTCCATGCTTTTTTGCCGTCAACAATTCAAATTAAAAGGGCACGAGTCCAATATAGTGGTGTTAGGTAAAAGAGTGCGAGCGCAGGCTTTAGTTGAGAAGTCAAGTCGATTCACGTGCGGATATCTAATTTATGCATCGGAGAATTAAATATAGCTGCGACCGGAAGAACTGATTACACTCATAAAAAAAGCAAAACAAAAAGGGCAAAACAGTTTAAAAACACACACACATTTATGTTGCTGCTTAAAAAGAGGTGCGATACGAAATTTATCATCGCAAGCGTTCTTCAAATTAATTTTGGATTTTGGATTACACTACACTAAAATAACTTAAATGTTTACCTATTGGAGTAAAATCTATAAAAATTACTTCTAAGGGGCATTTGAGAGAAAGAAGCGATTTTGTCGACACGGCCGGTTGCTTCTTCAGTAAACTATAGCGATTATTTCTAGGGGCTGTTCTTCATCACTTTCTGTTCATTGTTTTTAGACTTCTCATGTCTTTCGAGCTTTTAAAAACTGTTTGCTAAAGCGTCGATTCACTGTTTAATTAGTCGAAATTAGTTGAGACCTCTGCTGATGCGTAACAAAAGCAACAGTAGCTAATTCGCACAATTCACACATTTCTACGCACTTTCATATACACACCTCTAAATGTATTTAAGTATGGTAAGAGCGAATGACTTTTGTTTGTTGATTTGTAAACATAACAGTAAATCTACCGTATGTTTGTATTGTACTTCGGCTAAGCGAAACGCGATAGCCAGCTAACTTGGCGGAATTACAGTGTATCTTGTATCTTGCAAATGCTATTGGGGCGTTGCAAGCTTCCAAATTGCGGCAACAACAGTAGCAGCAACCATTAGTTGTGGCGCCGGCAATTATTGCCGTTGGCTGTGGTTTAAAAATAGAAATATATAGCAATCTTCATCTGGTGTGTGATATAAAGGGTTTTCCAATTAGAGTGATATGATTTACACAAAAAACAAACAGACACTAATTGTTAAAGGAAAATCAAATGTTTTTTATTTAATGTGAAGTACTTGTATAATCGATACAATAGCACCTTCAATATTGACTTCTAAAGCTTGAAGAGAGTTTGGTTTATTGCTAAAGAACAATGACTTCAAATAACCCCACAAGAAGTAGTCTGAAAAAATGATGGATCATGACATATTAAAAATGGCCAAAACAACACTTAAAAATCTTATCATCCCTATTGGAAAACCCGATATATGCATATATGTACATATATATATATACATACATAGGTGTGTGTGTGGCGGTCGTAACTGTATTTAATTGCGAAAAAATCGAATCGTAAACGCAAATCGAACAGTGGAATTGCACCTGAAACTTGCCTTGCGGTTTTACGTTCAAATAACCAACAACAACAATTGTTAGCAATTCCTCGCTTGCAACAGAGGATTTTACTTAAACAAGCAATACAAATAAATATGAGTAAAGATATATGGCTGCGTTAGTTCGCAAACCCCGCAACTTTGCCGCCGAAATATCGCCGACCATTGTTGGAAACTTGTTCAGCTGCACACACACACACAGACTTGCCGGTTTATTCATAATTGCAGCTTCCTTTTTATGCATAAACGTTCACATGAACATGACGGAATTTTTTATATTTAGTTTTATCAATTCATTTAATTCAGTTTATTTTCAGCGGTAAATTTTGCAAGTTAATTGCTTGCACTTGCTTTTATGTATGAGTAGTGTTACTTAAATGCATGCGCAAAAAATAAACTAATACATACATACATATATCTAACTGTGTGTGGAAATATATCATTATACTTCTTAATTGTCGTCTCTCATGAAAGAAAACTGAAAAAATGGAAAATATAGTAATTTGTCACTTTTGTTTACTTCCTTTGTGGTTATTTCACTCCTGCGGTAAACTACAGATGTAAATACAAATGCAGGTATGTATGTATTTTTTAGTAGTTTTGTTTGTGTATTTTATTATTGTATTATTTATATACTTTTTATTTTCTCAACTTAGCTGTCATCTCTAAATTTCCGCGCTATTTAATTAGCATTTAGCAGGGGAGGCGGTGAGGCGGAAGAGTTCTTAGCGTTTTACATGCTATTACAGCTTTTTGCTTGGCTTGTCGTGCTTGTGACACGCAAATCGACAAACGAACACTCAAAGAGCACGCATATGTATATAACATACATATGTACAATGGACCTATAGTATATATGTATGTATATGTATAAAAATAAGGCGACATTCTACAACAAACAATGCTTGAGAGCATTACTGCCCCAGGGTAGGGTATTCCTCTATCTTTATTTCGTTCAGACGTTGATACCTACATTGGAACTACAAACTGAATAATAAGTTATGGCGGCCCGCCTATTTATTGCCGTAATGACAAATCGGCAACTTTTTAGTGTTCTCATTCATAATTGTACTAAATAGTTTTCAATTTTTTGGTGTGATACGTATTAGTAATACATAGTTTAAAACTTTTCAATACATTTACAAGTAAACTCTTGCTTGTAATTTTTAACGTCTGATAATACGAAACTGATCAAATTGCAATAATCCCGGAAATAAATTTTACTTGGTGGATTGCTAACACTTTCTCTCTTTTGGATTCAGATTTCTTTAACTTACATAATGGCAGTGTGAATGATCTCATGTTATTCGGAACTGTTCCTGAGATTAATATTATTTTCTCTTTTAGCACGAATTTGAAATCAACGCCAACCGGTTAACTTTAAATGCAATTGGAATTAACTCGAATATTACAAGACCAATACAACTTTATAACCACAAAAATGACTTATTCAGGAATCACATTGGCATTATACCAATGGGTAAATACTGAATGCATTAAAATAAAGATAGCGCCATTGAGGTAATCATAGTTACAAAAACTAAAATCTAAAAATGTTTTGAAAATTGCTTATGATTGTCCACAAAAAACATTATAGGTAGTAAATCATCTCATATACTGTTTCTGTCCAGAATTTTTTTCTCTTTTGTGAAGGTCATCCATGTCGATACAATTAGGTTATCGACTTGCATGAAATGTGTTAATTAAACACGACGCAATACTCGAATAATTGACTTAGCAAACCGAAAGCTGGTAAATTTTAATCATTCCTCTATAAATTTCCTAATCGAAATATTTAAAACGGGTTATGAAGATGCTTTATTAGCAATAATATAAACGATTTTCAATTAGCATTTAGCACATATACATGAAAAAATTTGCAAAAATATTTACATTTTCAAAACACACTAAAAAACCCCAGATTACGCGAAGTCTTCTACAGTTGTAAAACAGAAGAACAGCATAGTATGTTATACCTATGTATATCAAGATTGTAGGACTCGCCATAATATGGAATTAGATTCGGTATTATCAATTATTAGCAATTTCAAATTCTTTTTCTTTCGTCGTTGAAAAACTGCTTGCAATACTAGTATGTATTACTCACGGCCCTGCAGTGGCTAGCCAGCTTAAAGTGTAGCTTGAAATAAAACATGTGACTAAAAGTTGAGAGTCGGCTGCAGTAGGCATACGTATTTACATATATATATATATGTGAACAATTAAAACTCAAAAGCTCAATCAATAGCTCATTAACTTTTTGTTTACGCTTTAAATGTGAAAACCCCGCTTGCGATTGCTCAAGCCATAATTATAACAACAGTTATTGTGTACTTGCACGAGTAACCGCAAGTGTTATCACTGACTTGAAATCACTGAGATGCGTTTCTAGTTAGCTGCCGAGCTGCTTTTATGTAAATCATATAACTTTGAATTTTGAACTTGCATTTTTTAAGAGAAACTCAGAGCTTACGCAGGTTCTGCATAGAATCTGTCAGCATTATAATTTACTATTTATTGAATTTTTTATTACACCCACATCACATAGCAATAATTCTTAACTTACGACATGATTTTAATTATTTTAATTTATTTATTATCAAACTGTACTTTTTGGTGCTGCACTCAGCGAGAAAAACCCATATACTAAGCATTTGCATTACCTACAACACAGCAGATGATATCTCATCACAACACATAATTTGTTGTTGTTTAACTTCGTTTTTTGTTTGCTGTTATTTTATCTCGAATTTTTTTTTTTAGGTAAACAAAATTCTTAATTGTTTTTATTGCATTTTATTTAATGTTCTCTGTTTACTATTGTTTTTGATTGTAATCACAGCAATTATACGTCTGCACTACACCAGAAAGTAAATTCAAATGAACTTTTATTTAAAGAGACTAACAGCGCGCTCCCCGCCTCTACCAACCCATCGACCATGCATATCACCCAAGTGTTGGCTCAACAGTTCTCACTCGAATTCATTTATATATGTACATATAAATGTACATTTATATACAGGCTCGCGTATGTAAGCTACAGCAAAATTCTTAGAAGGCTCAGAACAAGTATTGAAGTGCCTTGAGTTGCTACAATCGCCACTGCAAACTGGGAGCTATGGAAGCATCTCGCATTAGACAAATAGGTGCGATTATTATTGGTAATCAGATTTTTCTTTAACCTCGTAACTGTTTAGTAATCAACGTTTAGACCTCATTTAGCTTACCTTTAATCTGCCTTATGCAGCCACGGTACTATAACAGTTTGAGATTGTAAAATAAGTTTGCCTCGTGTTATTCTAGGTAAATTATATATGAACAGACCTACATAAAGCATTCAGAATAGAAAATTGCATTGAAAAATTGAAGGCTCGTTCAATTTAAAAAAATAAGCTCTTGTTATTTTTTACTCTATTGTATTCTTTCAAATTACCTTATCTATCAACTACAAGTGTCTGCTAGTGCTGCGGAACATTACCTAGAAATACGTAGAGACCGTAACATCAATACAATTTCATTTAATTAAAATTTACTGTTGTCAAGATTTCGAATGTTAAAAATTTTAGAACCAAATACCCGATAAAGGATATATAGTGATCGCAATCACTAATCACTAATCAATCATCATTAAGCACTGAAAGCTGTACGCAAATGAAACATCCACCAATGTGTTCGAAGCTATTTGTCTAAGTAAAAACAAAGCTCTGGAATTACTTAGAATTCGTGAAGACCGGTTTAGAGTTCACTAGTTGAGTAATAGAACGTATTAGCGCGTAATCCCAAACTATCAACGCTAAAGCTAAGATGATGTTCTTTCGTATGTATGTATGTATGTAGGCAATGAAATTGTAGGTGCAACGTGCAATGACTCAAAGTGAACACATATATATTCGAGACATTCTTCAACCACAGCAACAATTATTGAATAACCGATTACTGATTTTATGCAATTAATTGCAATTCGTCTGTTGTTTACATGGATGCACCTATGTTAGTGTTCGAGCGGCTTTTTTAGCATGCCATTAAGATGACCTGTTATTCTTTCTTAACACAAGCAGTAGAGTGGAGAAATTGCCTTAAATGAAAAACTTCAGCAACAAAAAAATGCACACATACTCGCACAAGCGTAAGTACATACGTATGCCGCTCAGTTCGGGGTCTGGTGTATCAGCAATTCAATTATCCGCATTCGTTCGCTAAATAAACAGTGCGCAATATTTTTTTCAATTTCGCTTGTATTTAACATATTTCTTGCTTTGCGCCCAAATCGTAGGTCTCCATTTGTATACCTGCATGTGTACTCTATTTTCACCAAATTAGTTCAACGCTTGGCTAACCTCTAATGAGCGAATCATTTGAATTAATGTGGCTGAAATAATGGCGGCCGGCACATTTCAGCAATTATTTGCATTAAACACAAATCAAGCATTAAATAAATAAATATTAAACACACCGTCAATGAGAGCCATGACTTTCGTACCCCTAAACATGGAACAGTGCGACTTAACAAAACACACGCTTGGTGATAGGTGAAAAGAATATTGAAAAGGGTGTCGCTGGGAAAATCCTTTCAAACAATTATTAGATCTTCATTGAAATGAAATGCAACTATATATATCTTATATATGTATGTTTGTTTGCACAAATTATTGCTGCTTGCCATTGAGGCGTCGGTTTAGTTATTTGAAACGAGCCAAGTACAAAGCTATTTTTTATCTTCTTAAAGACCTTTTCACTGTAACACCACTTTTAAATCTCCAATCGCTTATCGAATATGAGCCTACATACATATTTTATACATTCACCGTTTGGGGTTCTCAACCCACCACCCTCCATGTGGCAGCCACGCACTCCACTCAAGCCCGCCTATGACAGATCAACACTAATTGTTACCTGTACTCGATAACGAATAGCGAATATAAAATTTTAGGCGGCTGCTGAGCTTTGAACAAATTGACTTTCATTGTTTGGTTAAGAATTATTGAAACACGACGAGCATAACCCATTAATTGCTGAGAGATAAGCAAAAAATGCGAAATTCAATAAGCAAATTGCATGTGTAAGTAAACTACAACAAAACGAAAACATATCATGAAGAAGTAATTGATTAACTACTCAAAACACGGTAAATGAATCTGCGACCAAATACGAACAAGTCCGAGTGCCGCCGCCGGCTGAAGAGGAAAACCACTTGAGGTTCATCAATGGTCAATTAAAAAGCATAGTAAAATATTAATAACCACAAAGCAAATTAGAAGATAAGAATCTTGGCAATTAAATTAATTACAATGTAAAAGTTGGTGTGTGTGTATTTAAGCAGGTTTTAATCATTTTAAAAAAACAGCGAATCAATGTCTCAATTGTTTTTTTATCTACGATTTTTTGAGAATATTAAATAAATAAATTAAAATATAATAAATTCAGTTGACAAAAGAATCGCAATGGTGAGTTAAACTACGAGAAATGAGCCAAAAAAATATGAGTCTCATTGGATCGGGTGTGCTGTTTTCAATATCTCTTTGTAACCACACATATTTGTAGAATTACTATGTTACGGTATTCATATGTTTATCCAGATTTAGTTGCACATACGAAAGCACATTTTTTTCAAATTCATTTAACTTCAAAGCATTGATTTTGCTCGAATGCGTTTCTGAAAAGGATCGCCACATTATTAAAGGGTTATTGTAGCAAATAAAGATTTAATTATTCGATTCGAGCAAAAAATGTAAATTGATTTATGAGTCAATTGAACTTGTCACCAAAATAATTTACCCGAAAGTTATCGCATTAAACCAAACAAAACATTTCCCAGCGCAACGGCAACTTTAACCCTTTGCCAGCGAAAGTTCATATGCTAATCGGGTGGCATGTGTGTTTGTAGGGAGTGTATGGATGCATGAAGTAACAAACGGCGAGGTCGAAGCACCCAGTAAACGTACTGAGGTCAACTTGGTTCAAGCGTCTTCTTTTGTTCTGATTGTGTGATCTTATCCACATAAGTATAAGCAAACAATCTGGCTACCTTTGCAAGAACAACAACATACTACATCGTATTACAAAACCGTATTGAGCAAAGACGCAATATAATGAGAGCTTTAATTTCAAAGTAAACATTTTTTGTTTTTGTTGTTTTTGCTGGTGATTCTTGATTTTACGATGCGCAAGTCTTTATCTGTTCAAGATTTATATGTTCGATTAACCACATATCCGGTGATCTAATTAAAAGTATAAACTCATTAAATGATCATGCAGTCTCGTTTGAATTTTGATTACTCTAAAAGGAAAGCGAAATTAATGAGTTTCAAATCTGTGGCGCCGAATCAGTTTAATCGATATTTAAATGAGAAAGTTAAACGTATTTGCGATAGCATTATTTTGAAATTAACGCAATGTATTTAATTCCTCAATTAATTATTTAATTTTTCAATTAGTTTTTGACACGACACAACGGTGGCTTTACAGCAAATGCAATTTGCAGCCAATGAACCTCTGCGTGTTGACAGTTGAGATGCTGCAACAAGTTATACATACATACCTGTATTAACATACGTACATACATATATACATGTATGTATATACCTGTATTAACATACGTACATACATATATACATGTATGTATATACCTATGACTAACTGCTTATGTGTATCTGGGCGCAGCGATCGGCAGAGGCGTAGTTCATGCAACAACGATTTTACATTAACCATCGAAAACATGAACCTCCGTGCTTAGGCGAGTCACACAATTCATAACAAGCTGAAGGTTATTTGCGGTAAACATATAAGTCCATTATGCGATTGTGACAAATCTACGAGTTATAAAAGTAAGCCGCACAACATCACACACACACATACATGTATATTATTTTATTAGAAAACCGACTTATCTGAAACTTTCAGAGAGAAAATATTTTTACAAAACGAGATTAAGGTAAGTAATGATGGCTGTCACAGAGGTACACGGATTTTATGCTTCAATCACATTCATTTCATGACACGCATAATAATGAGATAATATTTTTTCTTATAACCCAAATTATTTCCAAAATTTTTACTTTTGCAGAAAGATATACGAGCTCATTAAGGTCGCGGCTTTGCAACACCTCAATTATTGTTGTGTTAAGCAATCGAAAACTGTTTCATTGTTTGCCCATCGGAACGTTAATAAAACATTATATTTCATTAAATATTAAAAATATTCAAATAATTATTCGGTCAAGTGTCATCACTGTTCGTACCGTTTTGTGGAAGCCAGTGCCAAAATAATACTCGCTAACATAAAAAATGCATATAAGTATTGAGATGTTTTAAAACTAGACGACATCCACAGTGAAAAGTACTCGGTAATTCTAGTAAAACTTTAAACAACCGCAGCCAACCTGTCTCAACACAAAGGCTTGCGATTTGGCAGTCTAGCACCTACATACATAGACAAGGATGAATTTCAGTTTAATAAATGACAGAAGCGAATATAAAGCTCTATTTAACGCTTCACTTTAATCATTTTTGTCACGCCTCCTTGTTATTACTATTCTACACATATTCAAGGTACCAATTAAATATGATAACATTCAGTTCCGATTTACATGGCGGAAAAGCGCATATATACACTAATTAATATCATTGTAAAACTATTTTGGGTATTTCGCGCACGTTCTTTTCGCCACACTCGTCTGCGTTTGGACGACATTCAACCGAAACCGATGAAAATTGAATATTTAAACGCATATGGAAATTGTTAATGCGTCAAAGGAATCGTGAAGAATCGCGATTCTATAAACGTGTCTATAAATCTTCTTGTTAATACAAAGGAAATATCGATTTACGAGGTCATAAAATGCCAATAATCAGCGCATAGATAAATAAATAAAAAGTGCATTTCAAGAATGCAATTCAAAATGTACATATATTAATTTTTATGCATTGGTTTATTAACACTATTCATTTTTGGCAAAACGAAAATTGGCGTAGAAATTTTCAACAATTTTTTTTTCCTAAATTAATTGTTTTCGCTAGAACTTTTCGCGTTTAAATAAAAACTATAAAAGATTACATATATATTGTAAGAAAGTGAAATATTACAAGTAAAGCGCAAAAACTTTTTGCTTAACGCTCGTTTGCATGTCAGTTAGTTAACTAATTAAAAATTGTAGTTTTACAAGTAAAAAAGCAGCAAGTACTTGACAGTCACGAGCTCTTATTTAAGTAGCCAAATTGGAAAAAATGACAGCTTTTTAATAACTAAGCGTTTGCTAAGCTTACTTTTTAATTTATGACCGCATCCGCCTGAGATTCCGTTTATCTGCTACATAAGCGTTTATCATGCTGTTATGGTCGAATTCTAACAATGCAACAGTTGGCTGCAGGGTTGCATTCGCCGATTCGAATCGGTTGAATAGACACGAAGCTTAATACTATATATATAAATAACTATAAGACAGTGCTGAAACTTTTCACTGCAACTCTTGCTCGAGTATAGTAGTATACAGTTAGGTTAAGAGTTGTCTTTACATATTGTATAATAATAATAATGTATAACAAAACAACTAACACAACTAAAATTGTATTTTTCTGTTCATATTCCTGTACTCTTTTGCCCTTAATATTTTATCATTTCATGTTTTTATGTATTTTCGTATTGTTTCCCCACTATGTCCTTAGCCTTAGGCACAATTTTTCTGTGATGTCAACTGTAAGTCGCATGCTTGCGAAACTTTCTCACTTTACACAAAGTCGACTCGATGCTCATAAGCCTACGCATGCGTAGGTTGTGTCGGCGTCTACCAATCTCTGAATTTCGGTAGTGATCTCGGTGATTACTCAGGTTGCACGCGACACTAACAAACACATACTCTCTGGCTCAGCTATGTGACCGGTCATTAAAGCAACAGACAACAATATTAAACAATACTTTTTATTACATAGTGCAACAACAACAGCAGTTTAAGAAATTATTATGATTTTCTTTTAAATAAAAATTGTGAAAAAATTACCAACAACAAGTTGAAAACAGTTTTAATTACTGTTGCACAAAATTAATTGTAAACAAAGCAAGGAGAGGAAGCAGTTCGCTAAGTTAATGAAACAGGGGCCGCGGTAAGTTACTAATAAACTGACTGCCCGACTAACTAAGTGATGTGATCATTAGCTCGCTGACAAATTTGAAATGAGTTTTCGCTGCATTTTGTATTTATTTGTTATGTAAATAGTTGAGACACAGGGAAGGCACTGGAAATTTTGCGATTTGAATATCAACTTTTATTTTAATATTTTAAGTTTATATATTATATACAATATATACATATTTGTTATTTTATGGCTTATGGAAGGGCTAACAAAGTAAATGAGGAGGTATGATGAACAAATTTATCGTATAACATTTTAATGAAAAATTGTAAAACTTATTTATAATTGAACTTGCCATTAAATATGATTACGATAAGTTTTAATGTTTTTGGAGTATATTAACTTTTTTACCGCCAGCTCTAACTAATATATAATAGAGCAGTAAAACACCCACGGGTATTAAAATAATAACCACTTTTCACACAATTTTCCACCACAATAAATTAGTGTCACCTACTTGCGTCTAACTGTGGGGCCTCCACATCTATAAATATATATATATGTGTGTGTGTGTATTATATGTAAAAAGTCTAAATTTGTGTATTAACCGCACTCATACATGCACGCTTACTGTACCTTTTTTGCATTCAAATATTTTAATTTCCCACTTAAATGTGACACTTTAGCTTCTGACAGGAAACAGCTTCAACAGTTAATAAAAACAGCAACAACAACGTCGAAACTCTCTAACGGTCCTAAACAAAGAATTAAAACAATTTTCTGTGCCTTTTAAGCAGGAAGGAACTTGTTGCCGCCACCTAGGTGCTGCACTCAGCCTCGCTGCGGTGGTTTATTTATTTAATTCAGCATTTACCTTTGCATTCGCAAACGAATGAAATACTCACGAACGGATGTGAAGCACAAATGAGCGAAATCTAATAAAAAAAAATAAATATATTTAACGCGCTCATTGCCACCTGACTGGATTTTTCTTGACTTTATATGCTGTTATATTATTATAGTTGTTGTTGTCGTTGACTGCCTGTTACAGGATGTTGCCGCCTAACCGATTTTGGCAGCCTTGTTACGGAGGTCACACAGCCCAGCTGAGCTTTCAAATATACTGGCAGTGAATAGTCCTGACGCTTGCCATTTATGGCTAAATCGTTTTTAGTGTAATTGAATGATTTTTATTGCCGACGCTTGTTCGATTCGTGGCTTATTTTTCAATATATACGTTCACTTTTGTTAACAGTTCTGTGTGCTTCTCACTCTCCCAA